ATTTATCAGACTATTGAACAACTAGGAAAATTGAAAAAAAAAATTCTTATCACCAGCATAAATGCGTAATTATTTTTTTTACAAAAAAAGTAATTTTTCACTTTTGATTAAGTAACGCAGAGTAGAATGCAGATACGGACATGGCAAACACGCCTTTGTAAAGCTTGAAGTCTGGCGATTCTAAAAATATATACTTTCCTGGGTCTATTTGTAGTCATTTGGTTACAATTAGAAGATGAAAACAAGCATGCAAATAATAGTCCCGCTACCTTAAACAACCTAAGCATTTATCATTTACATTGGTTTTGCATTGAAAACTATAATTTTCATTCATCGTACGGCATTTTATCGTAGTCAACCAATGTTGTATCGATTTTACGAGCAAACTCAATGTACAGCGTAACAACAGTCATGGTTTTAGTGAAGAGGCCACAAGCACGCTGTATTTATTTATCTACCGAGTTTATGATGTCATAAACATGGTGTCACGTGTTACATTACATCGGGTATTGTCTTCAATTACAACGCTAGTTGATATTTCCAGACGGGCGTTCATTGGCGCGTTTGTTGTATTAGATTGTAGTTAAAGGAACAATTGTGAGATAATAACTTTGACGATAACAATTAGCGGTATTAAATCTATAAGATAACGCTATCAAGTCGTTACATCAAACTACCTGGACGTAAAGGAGCACGCAAACTTGCGTTTTAATTAGAGCAACGTGAAAGCAAATACTAAATACCGAATAAAACTATAACAACTGTATGTATAACTATGAACAATATTTATTTGTATGATGCAAAACTACGTTTTCATTTTGATAAAAAAAAAACGTTTGTTTTTCCAAAAAAATGTTCAGAAAACCAAAAATTAATACGCTGAATTGTAGCCTGAAGTCTACAAAGACATAACAATGTCACGAATATCTCAAGCTGTGATAATATTAGAAATTTCGAATGAGGATATGACTATACGGTTTTTTATTTTCCTAACCGGATAAAACAACCTATAACTGAACCATTGACCATGGCATATTCACTTCTGTGTTGAATATTTAAGATATAGGATAACGATGCAGAAGCTGTTCTCCGTCAACCCAGAGTTATGGGAGAAGCAGAATTGTAATTGCATATTACAGAGTTTGATATGGCATGGAGTGTGTACAAATCTTTTTGCAATCTGGGCAGTCGTTGGGTTGGTGTGGCTTGTTAGCTTGCTTATATATCTGGTAGCGTCGCGTATGTGCGGGTGTTTGAATACGAACATAACGTTCAGCACCATCAATAAGGTTTGATTGGCAAACTTCACTTGCATAAAACGCATAAACGTCAATTGCAATTGACCTCACTGTGATGACGCATTCGTTGTGGAATACGGGAAAAAAGGCCCGAAGCATGCACACTGCATACACAATATGCTAATAACCTTTAATGAGTTTATATACATATATCATGAATATTATTTTAAAGGGCGGTAGTCGTCTTGACCCCACTCTGTCTACTGTGGTTATTGGAAGACTGTACACGATTTCTAGCATACTAAACTTTAAAATTTAAAAAGTGTCTCCACTTTTTACACTGTTAGCCGGCGTGAGTGTTGGCATGCCTAAATAGGTTTTCATTGTATACAGCGCCACCAGTGGCTGTTCTCGGCTCCATGCGTCCAAGGCAGTACGTACTTATCCCAAGACGGAAACGTAGCGTGCATGCCATCTACAAATGTTTGTATCAGCCAAAATGCAATTAATGAAGATAATAAAATCTACAAAATTGGAAAAGTTGTTTTTTAAGGGTGGGTAGTTATTGGGAATGTCTGTAAAATGGGCGAAGCTGTTTTTGATTGCTAGAAAGGTTGTGAATGCGAGGAATTGTCTGAAAAGTCAGAAATATAGTTTGAGAAGTCCTGCATTTCGGCTACCGTGTCGTGAAATTTACTTTGGGAGGTTGTAATGTAGTTTGGAAAATTGGTAATACATGTATAGTTTAAGATAGCTATTTTGTATTGAGAGAAAGAAAAAGGTTGAAAAGCCACGAGTCCATCTGCAAATTTGACAAAGCTGCTTTTAATGATGGTATAGTTGTTTGGCGAGTCTTCAAAGCAGTTTGAGATTATTGAAAAAGAATAAATGTAGTTCGTGAGGGCGGTGAAGTTGGAAAGTAGATTAGACAGTCAAGAATGTCGTCTGCAAAGTTGCTTTTGAAGATAAGAAAGTTGTTTGGAAGGTCCCTAAACAGTTTCACAAGACAAGAAAGCTGCTCACAATGATCCTGAATGTAAGTAGTAAAATAAAGAAAGTAGTCTGAATAGCAGCAAAACTTGCTTTTGAAAGGGGAAAATTTGTTTGTAAAGTCGCAAAGTACAAAATGTCAGAAAGATTCTCTATCAATGTACACTTTTCCTAGTCTTTTTACTTCACACGTAGACTAAACATTGTAGACTAGAAGATTCACTCCATTTTAGATCACCTTCTGTATATATACCGGTAAGATTGTTTTTACAACTCAATGCGTTAATGTTCAATAAGGGCATAATACGATGTACATGCATTAACAATACATTGTTAACATGACATTCAAAATGGGTTATATGTTCTATTCAGTTATTGTGATTTCAAATGAAAATTAACAGACTGGCAAGAGCCAAACCATTCTGTCTTTGTTCCAAATTACAAACAAAATATGTAAAAGTATATCTAGTAAATAGGTAGATCACAGCCAGTGGACCATTCTAAATTGTGTATGTATTAAGCAACTGTGAGTAAAATGTCAATGCTAAGTTTGATCAGCCCAGACATGTCTGGGAAATGGTCCAAATATTGATTTCGTTTTTTTAGGACAAAAATGGTCACCAGTCAATCAAAATTATAATAAACAATAACAATCAAAGTGTATAAATATTTTATTAGGACTTGTCTTCAGCATGGTTGAGGAGTGAAGATAGGCAGAAAGACGCACCTATGGATGGATGGATGGATGAACAAATGCAGCCCAACCAAGTATAAAAGAAACTATCAAAGAAAAAAGTAATACAATGTCCAAGTGATAATAATAATTTATTTGACAATAAAATTCCAAGAAAATATTTATCGAGAATAGACAGCGTATAATCTAACCCAGAAACATTCCACACAAACATAACTAACTTGTCATGATGATAAAAATTATTGCTTATAAATGCAATATAACTATGCATTTCAAAATATGACTAAAATTCACCTTATCTTGTTTGCGAATTTGCAAAACGTCAATATTATGAAAATGCTTTCCATGTTTTGATGCACAAGTTGACCAGCCACTGTACTATATGTGCCTCTAATGAGTAGTACTATGTGAATGTAAAAGTGATATTCTCCAAGTCTGCCGACCACAATATACACAGTACTCCTAAAGCACCAAATAAAAAAAATAAAACATTACAAAAATAAATTTGATGATTGCTTGTCTGCATTTTAGACTCAATACTGTAGACTAAGACTGTACCACAGCTGCATACTCTCCACATTGCTGTATTGATCGGAATGCTTGAGGATGACAGAAAGATATCTCAACAAACTCCACCTGTCAACACCAAGAACCTCAGAAGGATCCTGCTTATTATTTGGCCTGAAACTATTCTACAACCAACAAATGCTTGCTCACTGCAACCAGGACAACAAGGAAACCATCATCATGCAATGGCAATGGAGATGGAGATGGCCTGGACACATCACCCGCACAGCCCTGCATTGGACACCAGAAAGATGATGTAAATATGGAAGAGGAGCTGAGGACCATCCAACACACCTGAGGAACTATACAGAAGCTAGCCCAGGACAGACAGAAGTGGAAGACCGTTGTTGCTGCCCTACATGCCAAGTCATATCTCCATTACAAGCCAATGCACTCAATACATTAATGACATAAATTCAGTACAAGTTTAATTGGTGATGGTTCAAAACTTATGGTGCATAAGAGATAAACCAAAACAGTCATCTTTGGGTTAATTGCACTGTTGGAGATGTCCTTTTAATAGAGCAAAACTTTCACATTCGATTATCTATGCTGCAGTAAAGTTAAAAAAAGCAGGATTCTTACAACAAATTATATCTCTCTCTTTACGGAAGTAAGCCTTTATCAGCTGCCTGCTTATCTGTATAGAGAAAACAATTAATCATAAAGTAGAAATAATTTTATATATTTTGTTTGGATAATTACAGTGTCCACCGTGACTATCATGAATGGGATATTATTAACTGGTGCAAAATAACCAAACTTAATATCCTATCATTTCAAACCTTTTACAAATTACACCAAGCATTGTATCATAATGGTGAGTAAAGAGATAACAGTACACTGGTGTATATGCAGTAAAAGTTATTGTGCTCACAAGTTTTAGAAAGTTGCAACGAACCTATCTGTGTATCCAATCGTAATTCTGGTTTCTCTGACCATAGTTGATGACCTTCTCGTGTAAGAAATCTCTTGACTTGTTTGCAGAATATACATGTTACCACTAGATGGCGCTCTCTTTTAGCTGCATAATTTAGTGAATTGAATGAATATATTAAATAAAAGATACTATGTTAGGTAGGTCAAAGTTTATGAAAGAAATAAAGTCCAAAATGAATTTCACAATATAACCAGGGGTTTCGTTAAAGCCGGCCGCCGGCCATATGGCCTGCTACAAGCCCAAATTGGCCGTCTACTTTCTGGTCTGACCACCTACACCGGTCACACTGCTGAGAGCCTTTTTATTTATTTTTTGGCCTGTTGTTACAGGATGATGGCCTGCTATTAAATGCATTTGTGAAACCTCTGATATAACATTTAGCTACTTTTTTTAAATGTTATTCGTTTATTGATATGAGGTTATCACAAGAATACTGCAAAGTATACACGAAAGCAGGACAGGTAATCACTGCATAGTCGTTGCATTCCTGTATTGCTCAAGTGCAAAATTTGCAGTATTCTTGTGATAACCTGATTATTATACATCTTTCCCTGCTTGTAGTACTAATTAACAGTTTACATCCCGAAATGGCAACAAATAATGCAATCTGGGTTTACATGCATTCTTAAAGATAAATATGGTGTAAATATGGTATAAGGTGTGATAAGGTGTAACATAACATGTCTGACCTCTCATTCTAACTGTTGAAGTTATTCCAGGAAGTAGTAAGGTATGACATCTTTTACATATTGTTCTCTTGACAGAGGGATCTCTGAGAAATAACAAAAATATACTTAAGAGTGGGAGAGTCATTATTTTTCATGCGACAAATGGCCTATCATTGTTTATAAACAAGTGTATATCCATGAGCCTTTGCATTTTTATTGTCGCTTAGGACTCAATTCCCACACAATGCACAGGTGATGAATTCTCTGCTTTAATTTTAAGAAACTTAGTTAGGTAACTATAACAATAACAACTAAAAATGAACTGAATGTTAATTAATTGCTAACTATGAAAATTAAATGAAGTGATCAAATCAAAACTAATATAAAGACATTTTTCTGGTCCAAAGATTTTTACTGATAATATAAATCAACTTTTTTCTTGTATTGGTATGATACGGAAAAGAAAAAGCTGTGACTAAATGCAAATTAGCTAATTAAATTTTAGACTACCTGGTAGTATAAACTACAATAATTATGACCTGATTTATCTACCCAAAAAGCAAGCATGTTCATAGTTTTGGCTGTGAAAAAAAATATCTCTGTTTCTTGTTTCCGCACGCATCATTTTGAACTATGCGCCCCAAACATTTTTTTTCCTTCTAAAGCATTCCAAAATTTTTAAAAAAAATTTAAATTTCCATGAAACGAGAAACAGAGAATTTGTTTTTCCTGGCCTTACATTCATTTGTATAAACTGTTGACAGTGTTTCTCACCAGGAATTAAATACATGGTGTGGAATTATTCCATTAGTTTAGAAAGTATGAGACAATTACCCATCCATGTGTAACTGAAGACTATTACTATTATAGTGATTATAGTGTACTCAAATGTTTGAATTTTATTCTACAATTACAAATTGTCACTTGTATTTGGTTACCTATCTGTGAAGTGATTGGTTTCATGAGAGTAAAAAACATGTTTCATGTCTGGTGAGAACAATGTGTTGATGAAATAAGCCATGATGGAAATAATTAATTAGCATACAAACTAGCTAAACCACCACCACCCACTTTGGTGATTAATATCAGTATGGCCCCTGAACCAATATATGACTTGTCATTGACGCACAGTGATGTATTGTCATGCAACTAGTTTTTCAATAGCACGTCATTGATGCAAAATCATACATTGATATTGTACATCTTTAAAAAAAATCATACTATACATACAGAAGTTCTAATTTGATAAAACAAAATTCATATTTTATGAACAAATTAATAAAACAAAGAAAATCAGGGAACTCAACATTTTAATTTTGGGCCTTCAGTTCACCTCATCTATAAGTCATATAGAATTTTTTTACTTCTCAAAGTTCTCTGTCCCCAGCAAATTGACTCAACTCGATTTTTGGGATTCCATTTTGACCATAGATACCTATTAAATCAGTCCTGTTAGGAGGACTGATAAATATGCACACAATATTAGAACCTGTTCTGTTCATCTTTACAAACTGCAAGCTTGTGGTACTGTGAAATACTTTATTTTAGCTGGAATTAATTTTCGCTGAAAAGACTTTTTGGGTGTTTTGTATGGAATTTATTTATACTGATTTTGACGAGCTGAATGTAAAAGTATATTTGCTAGATTTTATTTTATTTTATTTTATTTTAAATAGCGAAAATTAATTGCAAGCGAAAAATAAAGTATACTACAGTAGTACAAAGTTTAAATTCACTTCTTGCAAAAATCTACAAAGCACTCAGAATAATTACCAGTCATGAAAAGACACAAGAATTACATACAATTAAGAACAAAATGTCAACCCATTTGAGAAAGCTGTTGAAATATACACAGAACATTCTGAAAGTAGTGAATTAGTATGCAAATTAGATAATTATCCATGTGCAAGTTTCACAGCGAAATTATAGAAAAATATATAAAAATGTGTTAAATGTTGCACCAACTTTTTGACTGAAAAATTTAAGTTGACTTACATTCTTAATACTAGTCTCTTTGCTATAGTTTTCATTGTTGCAATATAAAACCTAGATAATTCAATGTTATTAGGATTCTGCACCAGCGTAGAATGAGCTGCCTGGAAACAATAAAAAGATTATATAAATGCCTCTGAAGATCCAATGTTCATGTGCATGCTTAGACGCTACCTTGGGATGTCTGGTGTATGGTAAATCCAATAACTGTGACATGATTATTTCTCCTTTTTTCAAAATGATAATAGCTTTTTTTACTAATTTTTTTCACAGAACATGCAAATTGGCCAATTAATTTGTAACTTATTACGCAGATATTCAACTACATAATAATATAAAACATTTATATGGAAAAGAAATAGATCATTGTACTTGACCATGGAAGGACTAGTAAACATGAACATAGTACAAGAATACTATGAGGTTATTACGAGGATACCTCAAAGTATGCATGAAGACAGTACAGCGCAGATGCAGCAAAGGTCTATGCGACGGCGTACTGTCTCAGTGCATACTATGAGGTATCATAATAACCTTATTATTATACATCTTTTCCTGCAAAGATACATCATGGGATGCCGAAACCCAAAAAGTTTAGAACAGAATCAGCGAACTTCTTTGTGTGAAGTCCGGTCAAACTCTGGTGGCAGCCATGTTTGTTTTTTTATTATTAGGGACACTTACATGTGTAGTCATTCCATATTTGGAATTCACATTTCCTTATATGGTAGGATGAAAATATCCCATAAAATACTGCAATATTATGACACTCTGTAACTTACGTCATTACAATGACAGATGTATAATAATGCAAAGTATGCACATTGATTGATATAATCACTATACGCACCGCCTTCATGCACACTTTGTGGTATTTTCATTATAACATGTAGGGGTAATTATGTGAGATATAACAGCCCAAAATGCCATTCATGGACATCCAAACACTTTCTTACACGCCCATATAGCATTTTACAGAATAATATATTCTATTGTTGTTTTCTGTGTCAGATGTAGAATAGAATAGAATAGTATATTTGACTCAAATTAATGTAAAAACTCTGTGCGAATCCCCCTTGATTCTGGCTGCTGGCCATTTTCGATCATGAAATTGTCGGATATCACCAGAAAACACGCGATTTGTGCAGTTTTGAATAAAACCTAGTTAGCGATTATGAACAATGGTTATTAACATAACACCTGACCCCCTCTGCACTTTTTGTTTCGCATTTTAAGGTAGGAAATCGACATTTGAAACCGACAGGGTGTCGATTTACTAGGTGCAGTGTTTCACAACTTGTTTATTTATATACGTATAGCAGATGATTTTTTTTGAAAATTAGTATTTATTGATTTTCAGCCCCCAAGTGACTGTGGTTTCTGTGCCAGAATTGGGGAGGGGTGATTTCTAGCTCACAAAATTTATTTCTATGGTTCCCAGCAATTTGATGAGCTATCGAACATTCCACATCAAAATCACACCTCCTCTACAAAATTGGAATACTTATAACACCAGAGTGTTTCTAAGGTAACAGTGGAACTTGTTAGAAATTGGAAATTGCAAAGGAAAAAATCATGGAACAAATAGTTCTTTTTATACTTCTGTCCGCCCACCCCAGCCCCCTGTTCAATTGCATGCGCCTCTCAATGAATTCAGTATGGGTATGGTTACTAAAAATGCCATCCTCCCATCCATAGTTTGTATGGTCCACCCTTTAAAAATTCTGACTCCTGTACTTAATAATAACTACGTTCTCACCTGATACAAAAAATTCATTCTATGAAAAGCCTCTCTGTTTGGAACATGGTACTTCCTTTTTTCAGCCTTTTTACCTTTTTTGTTTTTCGTCATATTTCGTAGATTCGAAATTCAAGATGACAACAAGTATGTTTCGACTTCACAGGTCAGGTCACAAATCCGGGAGTTCGTGATACTATACAAATGCATGCGCATGCGTAAGGTCAGCAAAATGGCGGCCGCTCGTCATCTGTGCAGTAAGTTTATTTTGTTCGTAAACATAGCGGATTTCTGTAAGAATTTTGCAATGTTTGTGCTCACTCCGAATTTATTTTGATCATATTACATTCTCAAAATGATTGGTTTATTATTTCTCCAAAAGGTCTATGTGGAGGGCCGCCGTTGACGAGCCATGCCGGTTATCGTGTGTTGACCTCGATCTGGTGCACCGGCCAACACGAGACTGGTGTTTACAGAAACACGAAGTTCCGTCCATATCATAGTGGCTTTGTAGGAACTGCCTCGATGGCTCGTAAACTTACGAATTTCTATACGTATAAGTGCAAAGGACCGATTGTGGAACACCGGATAAGAAGTTCTCTATTTGTAACGCGACAGGTAATTTGTACAACTTTAACTTGACCTTCGATCTTAACTTAGTTTAGACCCCTGCTGTTTACATGTAAAGTAAAGGTCAGTTTCATCATGGAGCTCCACTTTACTGACCAGATTTAAATTATACTAGCAAAAATAATAATAATAACCATAAATATAAACAATATTCCTATACAATATATTTTGTGAAGTTTGAATTAGTTTTACCTAAATTTTTATGTTTTATAATTTATGATGACTTTCTGAGATTATTTATAGGTATTCCATAAATAAGGATATTCTGTATCTATAATGTAGTAATCTAGACCACAAAGTCAGCTAGCGTACAAGTATTAATAAAATAAATGCAATTAATTTACCGATATTTTCTATATGCAGCCTTCTACATCATAATTTATAGTTAGGAGCATGCGGGCTCCTAATTTATTTTGGGAGCCAAGCCAAAAATGAGGTAGTCAGCTGGCTCCTTTTGTAAATAAATTTAGGTTGCCAAAGCAACTATTTAGGGGCCAAACTTAAATTTTTTCACATTACAAGAAGAAAAAAAAAACAATAACATTTAACATACTGATTTTATTCTTATTTTATGATTTGCAATGTCAACAAAACATTATTAATATTCCATGATAATTGAAATATTGGCTGTTGAAATAAAATATGTAAGAATTTAAGAATTCAGAGGCTAAGTTTCAAGACAGGATACACACAAACAATGCGCAGACATTAAACATTAAAACAAATTACCATACTTATAAATCTAGAGTACGTAATTGGAAGTGTGTGTCCTAATGAATTTATTTTTGCCCATAATATTTTTACTCTCCATTTAAATATCCTGTATTTTTTCTTAATTTGTCATGTGCACTGTTTGGCGCCTGTTCATATTTTTTCTCTCATCATGGCGTTTATTCAGTCGCATTTGATGAGCCATCTTACAATTGTAAAGGTCTAATATGGGTGCAGCTTATAATAAATCTAGCCCAGTTTTAAAGCATGTTTTCCAGATACTTACAAATCAAGATAAAAATACCAAACTTTCACAGCCAAATAATCCATTGGGGTAAGAAAATTGACATTCAACATTTTTGCATGGAAAAATCCCTTGCATTTGAATACCTCATCACACATAGAATCTCAAACACTTTTCCAGAGTATTTAAAACCAAAATCATCATACAACTCTGGAGCTAATCAGTGACTGCCTTACAGTTGTATGGTACCGTGTGGTTTCAAATACCCCAGGGAAGTGACTATGATTTAGAGTGATTAACCAATAGACCCATCTCACGGCCATGCTGGTGTTTTTTCAATAGTCCTATACTGTAAAACAATTTATTTTCTCTTGCATTTAATTTTGTTGATGTTTTGAGCAATTTCACTGGGTTTTGAATTCACAAACTTGTCAGGGAAACAATAAGTTCACATGGATTTAGCTAATTTTACTTATCAACAAAAATAGCAAAATTAAAAACCAGTGAACAGTTTACTGTTACATGTAAAACAGAATGTGGTGGAGTATTCTGGATCCACTGCATAATTTATCAGAGTGGGTTATTTATATTCAGTCATCGATCGATTTCAGGAGCACAATTTTGAGTATATAACCAGTGTTCTCCCCAGGCCTTTCAAGCACTGCGGGCCCGCGTCGCTTAGACAAACAGCCGCGTCGCTTTTGTTTCGCCCGCGATCTTTGAAATCCTGCCCGCGATGCTTATTCACGTTGTATTGTTTACAAGTGTCAGCTTCGTCTAGCACATCTTTAAAACAATAACATGTATTGATCGAAAGGTAATCCCGCCTTTGTACATAGTTAGCCTTACAAAAACAGTGATAAAAACGGAAGTCTACAAGAAGTTACCAAGTCTATCAAGGATGCGGAGCTGGCAAACCCAAAATACTAGGGTAGTAATAATTTGCCCATTGTGTCGGGATGGTCTATCCCGAGTTGCTGCACTGCGGTTAATTGTGTTTTTACTATTTCATCGCCAGTGACACTAATTACCAAGAATTAAAAAAACAAATAAAATTAAGTCGCATTGGAAAGAAAACTGTAAATAAATCGGAGTAAAAATTATTCAACTGCAGACGAGATGGACGAGAAAAAACGAACTCTGA